CGTCTGGAGGAGATAATGGGAGCAGCTGTGGAAAGAGTTTACGAGATCGCTGCGATATTAATTTGAGTGAAAGCAGTTTAATAAAGTCTCTCAGCGAGTGACGGGACTCATGAGAAAGTTGTAAATGCAGTTTAAACACGGAGGGGAAAGCCTTTGAAACTGAGAATGCCGTTTCAGTTTCACCTCCCAACAGTTAATATTGTTTGGTGGAAGCTGAAGCGCTGCAGGAGGTTTCACAGAATAATGAGAGGGAGGGACGGACTGAGGAGAGATGAAATCAGAGAGGCTGTTCTGTCACCAGGTTTACAATAAATCTACATTAACTCTGTTTCTGCTCAACGTTTCACCACAAACTGCAGAACTACGGCTTTCTGTGTTGTTTATTTTACGTTACATTTTACATTTCGTGCCCCTCTGTAGTTGTTTTATTTCTCTTTGTGGTTATTTCATGACTTTATTGATGTATTTTCTGTCTCTTTTCGGTCATTTGTGTGTGTTTGTCAGTATTTCGCAGCTCTTTGTGGTCATTTTGTGACCCCGTGGGTGAAGTTTCTGTCTCTTTTTGGTAATTTCATACATGTTTATGGTCTTTTTGCAACTCTTTGCGGCCATTTCGTGTTGGTTTGTCATTGTTTTAATTCTCTTTTTTGTCATTTCACATCACAGCATTTTGTTATGGGGCTAAAACAGAGACAGTATAAGTTGGCATTGAAAACACAATCTTGGCAATGTAAAAAGAAAAAAAAAAGTCTGCTTTCAATGCCAATTTTTTTTTTACAATTTCAATTTTTTTTTTTTTTACAATGAATGATAATTTCAGTAATCTGTAGTAAAAAGTTGTTTAAATAACAACTAAATAGGTCAGATTTAACATTTTTGAGCTGTACCTCTTCATTCTCTGGAGCAGCCACAGGACACTGGAGAAGGCCTCTGGTCCAAAGCTGATTGGGAGTCTGGTTTTGTTCTGTTGATGGTTCTCCCACCCACTGGGGAAGGTGTCAAGATCCATTTGGCGACGTGGCACAAAGACATACTGGGCGCAGAATAAGTGTAGACTGTTGGAGGGATCTAGCAGGCGATCTTCTTCAAGACCATCTCTCACACACACACACACGGCTAACAGAACTAGCACAACAAACAAATTTTTTTTTATTTATGACTACATATATAAAACAAAACTGTAAACATGTGTACGCACCTTATGATACTGTCCTATCTGTCCATCTTTATCAGCCCTGTGTAGTGTTTGGGAATTATTTTGATAAATACTGGCCTCAACCTCCTGGAAAACAAAATACATCACAAGTACATATTAGCATTAGCTACGACTAATGGCAGGCTAGCTAGCTAGCTAGCTANCTATCCCAGCTGACTCAGGGTGAAGGCAGGTTCACCTGGACAGGTAACCAGTCTATCACAGGGCTACACTTAGAGACAGACAACCGCCCTGCTTCAGCAGAACGCTGTGTTTAACCGTCAGAACCAGACCAGTGTCTTGTTTCCAGGATGAACCTCTTTAGATCTCTCTACCAGCTTACATTTGGGATAAATGAAGCTGGAAAGGTGAAGCTGACAGTGATTACACAGCGAGCCGAACTACACCCTGAAATATAGTCCCGAACCTGAAATATAGTCCCGAACGACGCGTGTAAACAAACTGCACAAGTTTAGCCAAGTTTTAAACCACAGACCTACAAATTATGGTGCAAACACGCTGCCATGTTGGACCTCGTTAGTCTGATCACATCATAACAATCAGCTTCAGTGAAACAGTCTCATTAGTTGTGTTTCTTATGTTGTGGTTTCAATCACAGACCAAAGCTTCTCCTTTAAATCACATTTAACCAAAACCTGCACTGAAAAGAGCAAACGATGCTTCCTTTGAGCTGCAAGATTCTGAAGGTTTCTGTGTCAAAATCATGAATTCAGGATAAAATCTGTCAAATTTAAAGATTTTAATGAGAAAATTCAGTCTTCTTTGTGGCTGAGAATCAAGTTTTGTGTCTTTTTAACGTCATTGTGTGACTGTTTTGTGTCTCTTTGTGCTCATATTGCAACGCTAGAGCGTATTTTATGTCTTTTGTAGTCACCTTATGTCTCTTTGTGGGCATTTTGCAACTCACTTGAGGCGTTTTTGTGTTTGT